CGCTTGCTGGTGCAATTACCAGAGTCTTGGCAGCTGGCAAGATCAGCAAATGGGGTTTATGTCAGAGCTTGTTACCTTAATTTGCTTAATTGTAGAGCAGAGTGCAGTTGAACAGCCAGTTCAAACCAGGTTTCGGATCGCTGGGGTGCTGGGCACGGGCAGGGCATTGCCTAGAGAGCAGCAGTGGCTGCATGGGCTGGGGCAGACGGGGGAGCCGGGAGGGTGGGCAGAGCACGCCTTTGCCCGGGATGCTCTCGCTTACGGACCTCTGGCTCTGTGGGAGCAGTCGAGGCTGTGCTTGGCAGCCTCACCTGCAGATTTGTAACCCTTGATTTGATCCAAAGTCTGCAATTCAAACCTTCAAAGTCTGGAGGCTAGAATTGTACGCTCAGGCTTGAAAGATGCAAAGTGTCTGGAACTGAGGTTCATACCTCCATTTTGAACAGCAGGTCCTAATGAGCGTTTGTATTAGAGGAAGGAGGTAAGAATGACCGTGCTGCACTATCTGTGTCCAGTTTTGGGCCCCTCAGTACAAGAAGGACATTGAGGTGCTGGAGCGTGTCCAGAGAAGGGCAGCAAAGCTGGTGAAGGATCTGGAGACCAAGTCTGATGAGGAGCAGCTGAGGGAGCTGGGGTTGTTTAGTCTGGAGAAGAGGAGGCTGAGGGGAGGAGACCTTATCACTCTCTACAGCTGCCTGACAGGAGGGTGCAGTGAGGTGGGTGTTGGTCTCTTCTCCCAAGGAACAAGCGATAGGCTGAGAGGAAATGGGCTCAAGCTGCTCCAGGGGAGGTTTGGATTGGATATTGGGAGAAATTTCTTCACGGGAAGAGGGGACAAGCACTGGAACAGGCTGCCCACAGAGGTGGGGGAGTCCCCATCCCTGGAGGGGTTCAAAAAACGGGCAGAGGTGGCACTTGGGGACATGGTTTAGTGGGCATGGGGGTGTTGGGTTGACATTTGGACTGATGGTCTTAGAGGTCCTTTCCAACCTTAGTGATTCCCAGTTTTACTCGTTGAAAATTAATCCAGCCACCAAGCCAGGAAACATGAAATGAATTATTCCTCTCCCCTTAATTGGTTTAGTGGTAGACTTGGTAGTGTTAGGTTGATGGTTGGGCTGGCTGATCTTAAAGGTCTTTTCCAACCTCAATAATTCTATGATTCTATGATTGTATCTACCCAGTATCCCCAGTCTCCAGCTGGGGCCAACAGCAAGCATCAGTGGGTAAGTGTAAGAACAAGGGGGATACGTGGTGCTGCCTGGATGCTTTCTCAGCCTCCAGTGCACCTCTGGGTCTTCTGCACCAGAGGAGGTGCCTTTGTGTGATGGATTTCTCTTCCAAGGATCTGTCTAACGACTGCTTGAACCTCTGTCTAATTGTGCGTGGGGCTGCTAACGAGATCAGGGCAAGACGGGTACAGACAGAGCTCACCCACTGTATCTGGGATACCCTGCTGGCATCGCTGCTGGATGGAGCTTGGCTTTTTTTGCCCCAGGATGTGTAATGTGGTGCCAGTTATGTCTGTAAAGGCATCGCTGGTGGGCACAAATTGTTATCTTTCTGGTGCTCCGCTGGCCGGCAGGGTGGGACAGAGCTTTGCAGTGACGGTGGGAGAGGACAGCTGCTCTGCTGGGATGAGATCTCTGGAGCGTGTTTGTTAAGGAGCCCAGGCTCCTGCCATGCAACCAGGAAGCAATAAAGCATGAAAGAAGCAAAGGTTGTAGCAAAAGAGCATCATATGCACACCGGAGAATATGAGCCTGTCCCCTTGGAGTGGGAAGAGATATCTCGGCTTCTCTGGTTATTTAATTGTGTTCTGACATGTTGCTAAATCCATTTTACCATGGGAGCATAGAGACGTGAAGTTTAGCAACTCCTTGCAAGTTTTTGGAGAGCTACAGCCCTTGCCAGGTGAGGCAGGGAGAGGGCAGCGAGTTGTCAGCTCCTCAAGTGTCGAGGAGGAACAAAAAGCCCCTTCCCTCGTACCTAGTCTCCTCTCCTGGCTGCCTCCACGCTGACTTGCCACTCCTTTGCCGGTAGCTGCATTTCGGTGCTTCAAAGAGATGGGTTAGGTGCGTGCCGTGGCGGGTGCAAGGAAGAGGTGTGTGAGTAGTTCTGTCCCACCCATCCATCCCTCTGTCCGCCACCCCTGCCCACCCACAGTGTAATGAAATGCTAGCCTTTGTTTTAATTTCTTTGCTTCAGTGCCGCTCCCGTAGCGGTCCCGTGCTGCCTTTCCCTCCTCTTTGCTCCTGTGTCCTGGAGGGAGGGCAGTCCTGACACACAGCCAAAGCGTCTGTACAGCCCAGCAGGCCACCGAGTTGGGCTTGGACCCCTCCTTGCCCAGAGGCTGAAGATGCCCGCAGTTCCTAAGCGGGTGGCACATCCTGAGTCCAGGCATGTGGTTTCAGGCTGGGGACCGCCGATGCTCTCCTCCCCTCCTGGCCAGCTGGGCGAGGGCGGCAGCTCAGACCCTCCTCGGAGGCACCAGCACACAGTTTCTGTGTGAGGTTTAGGAGGGCACAGAGCGAAACCTGCAGATGCCTCAGAAAAAGGAACGTTGGGCCTGAGAGCTTTTTGCCTGTGGCAAACAGAAAGAGGCTTTCGGTGGAAGCTGGTGTGCAGTTGTGGACAAGAAACGGAGGTGTGAGCCCGTGGCGTGATGCTGCTTGTGCCCGGGCTCCTCCCGGATCAGAGCATCCTCCTGACCTGGCAAAGGCGGTGATCCCTCAGCCTGGGCGGGAGCTGGGCTGCTGGCAGAGCACGAGCAGACCTTTGAGAAGAGGCGTCCTGAGAGGTATTTGAAATGCCTGGAGAGCTCTCCTGCTCTCTTAGTCCATCCATGTGCTGTTCCAGTAGCTAATTACAGTCGCTGTTAACAAAAAGTATATCTTATTCCCATCACAAAAGACCTGGAAAGAATTAGACTGGTAATTATTCAGGAGGGGCAGAAAATAAACTCAGGAAAGCTGAGCCCGAGGGATCGAGCAGAATGTGATACCGTGCACACCCACCTCCTGCTCAGCCTTATTGTTCGCAGCCAAGCGGGGCATTAATGCTATATTAAGATTATGTGACTGAACCTATAAGCTAGGAATTAGGGTTAAACCTGCAGCATTGTAGCTGTCTCTTTGCATTTCCTGGCTTTCCTGTTACACTCTGAGGTACATGTTCCAACCTCACTTTTTAAAAACAATTGGTGCGTTTTGCTAAGGAGACTCACTGGCTAAAGGGGCATTAAAAACAACCAGCATATCCCAGGGTAGGTTCAGAAGAGACCTTCCTAGCAAGGAGGTGCTGGGACAGAGGGAGAAGGCAACACCGGTGGAGAACTGCAAACTGCAGTGGGATCTGGACAAACAGAGCCTTGGAAAACTGGTGTTTCCCAGACCTGATTGCCCAGTGTGGTCCCAGCGCTTTTGCAGCTTGCACCCACAGCATCCCCTTGCAAATGGGATAGCAACCGGGAAGGGAAGAAGGCAGAGGGGAGCTGGTTTTTTGGGTAGTTTTGTGAGCAGAGAGCATTTTGGACACTGTGCTAGGGAATATCTTCTTGCCCTGGTTAGGACTCAGCAGCAGGGAGGAAGGAGGTGAAGGGAGCAGTGCCCAGGATGGAAGGGATGGGGATAGAGCTGAAGGGTCAGGCAGAGACGGGGAAAGACGAGATGTAGCTCTCCCACACACACGGGGCAGCTCCGTGTCACTGGCACAGGACTGGAGCAGTCCCTTGCGAAGCCCCATGAATGAAAGGTGCACCAGCAGCAGTAGTGCCGTCAGGAAAATTCCCCCTTTCCCACCGCTAGAAAGATGAGCGCGAGGCCTTACAAGGTCTGTGCATCCATGTTTGTTACCCAGCCTCTGCAAACGTGGCCTTTAGTGGCATAGGGGAGTGAAAGTTTCCAGCCGGGGATGGGAAGAGAGGCCATCCAGAGGAAAAATGCCTGGTACATTAGCATCCCTCTCCTTTCCCCAGATGCATGTCCTGGGTACCTTGTGCTAAGAGATGAAGGGTTAAGCTCCAGGCCCTGCTGACTGCCATGTGATGCAGTCGCTTGGGTGATTAGTAAAGATCTGTGCCCTAAGAGGAATCACATGGGCTTTCACAGGGCGCCCTGGATGCAAATGTGCCCTCGCGGAATCCTGCCTCGCTGCCCGCTTCCACCCTCACCAAGGGGAGCGCTGGGTCTGGGGAGGGGAGCGTGGCTGCGCCATCCCAGGCCTGTCCCAGGCTCCACATCAAAAGGCAGGGAGCAAAACAACTGCAGAGCATTTTAAAGCAAAAATAAATAAATTCTTGGCTGCTCCGGGAGAATTCTTACCAAAGGTACAATTGAGTTGTCTGTTTATGGCTTTTCATTTCAAAAGCAGATACATAACAGGAACTTTTGATATTCAAGTCCTAAAGCAGCTAACTTCTGATATTTAAGCCCCAGAGAACCTGACTTCCCACAATCAAAGGGATTGCCATAACCCTCTGCTTTATCAGGTGGCTGGTGGGACCAGAGGAAATCCTGGATTTCTGCTTTATTGGGTGGCTGGTGGAAGTGAAGGAAATCCTGGGTTTTTATCGAATGAAAGCAGCTTTCAGTTGAGAGGACAATGTGACAATATCTATTTGCATAGCATCTTCCAGCAGGAAGGTCCTCAGAATGTTTTCTTCGCGGGGAGAAGATATCTGGGAGATTACCTCCGTGATAGCACGTTGCAGTGTGAGAAAGTTTTGAGGACTCAGTAATGGGCAGTTGCTTCAGATAAATGTCTGGGGCTGATTATTTGTTGCGTTAGTCCGGATGAGTTAAGCACTGTAAAACTGGAGGAGTCAACCCAACAGAAATATGTTCACATGCTCTCTAGCATAACCCAAAATGCATCAGCATGATAATTAAGTATCCTAAGAGCAGCTTTTGCCTCCAGGTTTCTCTGTTTCAACACCCACAAAGGCCCTTGGGGTTCGCAGTCCATCTGCATGGATCCTTTCTTGGTTTTGTTTTCTGCAGATAATGTGACAAACCTGACTCCTGAGAAGTCCTTCCAAGGCACCAAAGTAGGCGTGGGGAACATTGTGTTAGCTTTGTACAGCGGTCTCTTTGCCTATGGAGGATGGTAAGATGCAGTCCTTTATCTCTTTTCAATGCTAAATACTGTAGTTTGTTCCTTTGTCCCCAGATTGTGTTTGCAGGGAGAGTATGGTCCAGGACTTTCCATCTTTCTTGCAACCGGGGCAATGAGGCAGATGCTTTGGGTTTGCCTAGGAACGTTAATAGTCATACTTCATGCCCCATTTCCAGCCAGGACACAGAAGCACAAAGAAGTGGTGGTGATCATGGGATGTAGAAGAGGCAGCGATGGTGGGTTGCTCGGTGCAGCTCCTGGGCGGTGGTAAGAGAAAGCAGCAGGGTGGGTTTAGCTAGCAGAGGAGAGGTGTGTTCCATGCCAACAGATTATTTAGAGCACCAAACTGAAGCTCCTGGAGAGCTTCTTTACCAGTCCCTTTGAGCACCTGCAAGCACAAGGAGCCTGCTCAAAAACAGGCCGGTTGCAGCCATCCTTATCGCTTGGAGGGCGGCCCTGTCGCTTGTGGGTCCAGCTCTTCACCTGCAATCGCCCCTCCTGTTGCAAGGAAGCTGGCGGTTCGATGTGTTTGATCCCCCAGCACCATCCAGAGCGGGCGCTCCGCAGGTTTTGTGCTGTAGGTCTTGGACTAGGCATCAGCCATCATAAGTTTTACCGCAGGTTTCAGTCTCTTTACCCCTCCTGAAATTCCCTTGCAGATGAGTAGGATGAAGGCCTTCATTTATTCCCTGGACTAACCAGAATTAACCACTGTTCTTTTTAAATTACAGGAATTACTTGAATTTTGTTACAGAAGAGATGATAAATCCCTACAGGTAGGTGTGTGTCCTGTGGTGACTTCCCTGGGAGGAAAACTTGTTCTTGGGAAGCCCTTTCCTCGTGTGTGTAAGAGGGGTCGCTAATCAGCCCAGAAGCCAAGGTCTTTTTCTAGGGAAATAGAAAACGAGGGAAATTAATGGCATCGTTCCTCCCTGGAACAGGGGAAGAGGAACAATAATCTCTGTATGAGAAGGGCTGTTGCAGACGCTGCTTTCCTGTTCTGCTAATATTATGAGTGTTGTTGCAAAGTCCTGCTTCCTTGGCATGGCACCTCTTTGAATTATAGGCGAGGAAGAAGCACTCGTGGCTTTATTACTGTCCTGTATAAACTCCCACAGGAGTATTTGTGCGCACATATGTTTGTCACATGCTCTTCCTGTTCTCTTGAGCAATAGCCGCTTTCTGTACTGCTTGTCTTCGGGCTTACACAGGGGACCTGGTGAGATGAGGGTGGGCCACACCGAAGCAGGACATCGCTGATAAATCAGTTTTGCTCACAGGGAAGGTGCCTGTGAGGCACTGTTGATACGAGCTTCAGGGTCACTTGCGCAAGAACCCATTCCTGGCTGACCCTCGCAGTTATTAGTGCCTGCTGGGAAGCGTAAGGTGTGATCCGCCCTTTCCTTGACAAACACAGTTATAAAAGAGTTTTTGCAGATTGCAATTATTTTCTTGTCTTCTGAATGCAGTCATGGTATTTGACTCTCTCCTCCTGTGGCTTTCAGCTCCACTAGACCAATTATACATGGCATCAAGCAGGGTTTCCTTTTTCAGTTTCCGTTCGCAAATGAAATTAGACTATTTGGAAAGGCAAATTTGTACCAGCACAGCCTCGTCTTTACAGACCCACTCAGACTGTGTCTGAACTCATTTTCTTTGAGTTTCATCCATCCAGCCAGCTGCCCAGAGTTAGAGCCTAAAAACTGCCCATGAAACCCCTGATCTTTCACTCTCCCACAAGAAACCCAGCAGCACAAATGCTTCTCCTGTGCCCAGAACAGGACGCATGTGCTAATGCCACTGGCTAGCAAGAGACACAGGGGGTTATTTTTAATTAATTGCCTTTGCAGTTATCTTGGATTACTGCTTGCCCAGACAGCTAGAGTCTCTCCATGCAAAAAGTCCTTTCTGCCATAATCCTTCGCTCTACATCTGTCAGCCTCCAGGCTGCTCCCGTGTGGGCATCTTCTCCTCTCCTGGGGGAGCAGCGTGTGGCTGGGAAACTGGACATGCTGAAGAGCCAAAGAAGAGCAGAATGGCTCGAGCCAACTTTAAGCGAGCGCGGGAGGGCTGCAGCATGAGCCATCGATCCCTGGCATCACCAGCTCTCTTCTCTGAACTGTGGCGCTCCATTACAATTTATATTTTCTTCCTAGAAACCTGCCCCTGGCTATCATCATCTCACTACCTGTAGTCACTTTGGTTTATGTGCTGACAAACTTGGCTTACTTCACGACCCTGTCGACGAAGCAGATGCTGACGTCCGAAGCCGTGGCTGTGGTAAGATGGGTGCATTTCTGATGTGACTCGTCTGTTTTCCGGGGCTGGTTAAATCAGACTTACAATCTCTGCATGCATCTCCTAGTTTGTTCCATGCTGGTCGTGGTTGCTTACAAAAAAGCTGATGTTTGACAGGAGATAAAGAGCAACTGTGACGGGAGCAGGGAAGAACAGTGTGATACCAACTGGGATTAATCACAGACAACAGTAAGGGTGGGCAGACGGGTAACGCTGCTCTTAATTTGTAAATATGCAAGGTTGCTGCTGGCCTTATGACTTATCATCAGTTACCAGAGCACGGTATTTATGGGAAAAGGTCATTCAGTCAATACTGAACTAGACTGTTCTCTTTGTATATCTTCCTTGTTTTAATTAAGAGAGAAAAATAATACTTCTATTAATTAAAATGCCATTGCGGTCAGAAATCCTGGTTGCTTCAGAAGTGAGCAGCATGGTATGGCCTTGCAAACTGAGTGTGACCAGGATCGCTCAGTGCTTCGAGGGGGATCTCCCAGTCCAGGATAAGCTGGTCTGGGCCATTCAGGTGACAGCGCTCCATGCTTCGGGTTAGAACCCAGCCCCGCTCCCGCCCGCACGTACACAGTGCTGAGTTATTGGAGATGCCAGCCTGTGTTGCATTGCTCTAGTTGTGTGCCTTTGCAAGTCTTGAAATCAATCTAGTCTTGGCATAAAACTGCAGTGAAGCAGTGCAAGGTCAGTTTGTGATATAAAACTACAACGCCAGGTCACTGCGTTTCTAAGGGGTTGTGTCCCAGGGTCCTTACTCGGCAGTCGGTGATAGCTGCGTGTCTGAGTCTCCTCACAGTTTCCCTTTGGTCTTGAACTTTTGGATAGCCGTTCTGATAATGTTGTGTCCTGACTCTGAGGGAAGGGCTTTCTGCTGATGTTTTTTTGCAATTCCACAATATGCTTTATCAGGAAGGAGGAGCAGCACATGACAATATGGAAAACTCCATAACAGGTTCAGCACTAAGCCGTGTAATTTGTTCAGATTTCTACAAATATTAAGTCTTTGTAGGCAGCTGTGAGTTCTTTTGGATATTCTGGGTGTGAAATGACTGTCTTCTTATCCACCGCTTAGGATTTTGGGAACTATCACCTTGGCGTCATGTCCTGGATCATACCTGTCTTTGTTGGCTTATCGTGCTTTGGATCCGTTAATGGATCTCTCTTCACTTCTTCCCGGTAGGTTTCTTGCTCAATTTTGTGCTTTTTGTTTACAAGTCACGCTTAATGCCTCTTCGTTTGGAGTTGCCCTCCAAAGAGCGGCTGTGGGTAGACACAAAGTCTAAAGGGTCTGGAGGATATGTGGGGAATGCAGGGGAAAAAAAAAAAAGCAAGACTTTAAAACCATATCCAGTTTAAAGGAAACCCTTTCAGTGGTCTTAGTCTTCTGTTCCTCAGGCAAAGTCCTGTTGAAGTTATTAGAACATAAACAAACACAGGCCTGGGGCTCAGTGTTGCCTGAGAAAGTGGCTTTAATGAAAAGCAGAAACTTATGAAAATTCAGGGCTGAGAATCCCTCCAGAAAGGGGAGAAAGGACGGGGCAGGACGGGGACTGAGATGGTTCCAGCTCTGACACACATCTCCCGGGTTGTCTTAGCAAAGTCACTTAATTGCTCTCTCTGGAAAGGAGGATATGAATACATCTTTTCTTGCATTCTTTGTCCGTCTCCAGCCTTCCTTCTAAGACAGGGACTTTCCACTGTGTACGTGCAGAACACCCCATGCTGGGGTCTGATCCTGGAGGGCCCCGCTCCCGAACCAGTGACTAGCAAAAGGGCACAGCTGGCATCATGCAAGGTGCCATGAAGGTGGAAAACCTGCACTGAGCTTGGGCTGTCCTCACTTGTTTTGTGCTAAAGACAAACCCCAGCCCAGGGCTGAAGGTTGCAGAGGTGATAACAGCTCTGTCTCCCCCACCTCAGGCTGTTCTTCGTGGGATCCCGAGAAGGACACTTGCCTTCAATCCTGTCCATGATTCACCCCAGGCTTCTCACTCCTGTGCCGTCCCTCGTCTTTACGGTAAGCACCTGGCTCTGTGGTGATGAGCATGGACCTGCTACTGAGAAACAGGTCGGGGGTAGGATCCCATCAGAGTGGTTGGAGCGGGGCTACTTGGGCACCATGTCCAGACACGGCCATTTCTGCATGCACCTACAGGAGAGGATAGACCCTCCTCCTTCTCATCATATCCTCATATTCCACTTCTGTTTTGAAATCGCTTGAGGCACCCATTGAAAATAGCTTAAATAAGTAAAAAATAATCAACCTGATTCTTTCCTGGCAGACAGTTCTTCTAAAATACCTGTATTTAGTGTTGTAACATACATGGTTTTGCCTACTCCCTTTGCTAATGGCTTTTCTTTTCTGGGTGCAGTGCATCATGACCCTGCTCTATGCCTTCTCCAACAACATTTTCTCAGTCATCAACTTCTTCAGCTTCTTCAACTGGCTGTGCGTGGCTCTGGCCATCATCGGCATGATGTGGCTGCGTTACAAGAAGCCAGAGCTGGAAAGGCCCATCAAGGTGAGAGCAGCGTGGTAATTGCGTGGTGGGTCCTCCCCGAGTCCCTTCTCAGCACCGGGGAAGGTTTAGCAAGTACGGCTGTGTGTCCTGTTCGGAAGAGGGACTGGGATTGCAAGCGTGCAGGGGAAATGTTGTGTTGTAGCTAATGCAGGTGTCCCTGCTGCACAGAAATCTGCCAAATGCAAATCGATGCAGGAGGACAAAGATCTCCCGTGGCCGTGGGGACATCAGAGTGAAGGAGGCTCTGGGTGTCAGAGGTGCAGGGTGGGGTACCCCAGCAGGAAGCTCTCAATGACAAACATATTCCCCAGGACAAATCATAGGCTGTGGCTCTCAGTGAAACACTGTACCATCATGGAATTCACTTAAAATAGTTTTTTAATAAAGCAGACAAACCCACGCCTGCAGAGATGAGAACTTTGTTCTCTTTGTCCTTGGCCAGCTTGGCAGTACCGTGTCCCATCTGGGAGGAGGCCAAGATCATGTCAGCCGCAAGCATGTCTGCCTTCCTTACAGGCATGTTTCTCATTCATCCCCCAGCACACTCAGGTCTCTGCCAGGCAACAGGCAGCCAGAGAGAAACAAACTCTCAGACCTGTACCAGCGCCTTCCCAAAGTAACTCTTTGCAGGGTGTTTCCTTTGTTTTTTGTTTTTTCTTCTAAAAGCCGGGCTTCTCTCAGTGGGCGCCCTGCTCAGAGCAGTGTAGCTGAGTCCCTTGAGAAACTGCTGTGAAGAAGCTATGGCTTGTGCTGTGGTTGCTGTTTGGTAGAGGTGCTTTTTATAAGCAATCATTCAAATACGGGATTGGGGTCAAAAAAAGGGTGCTGAGAAAGGCTCATGGCTTTGGCAAGCCACGTTTCCATGCTTTGTTCTACTGGTTTTAAATGTACGTGTTAGGTGCTAGCCTGTTTTCTCCAGGATTGATGAAGAGCACTGCCTAAATCGATACCTTCCCCATGGCAGTTCAAGGTCATGGTCCCCTTGTTCAGAGCACTGGGGCAGACAGGAGCACCGTCCACGTAGGGGTCCGTGGTGGAACATGAACTCCTTCCCTCCCCGGGCTGTACACCTAGATAAACTTCACTGGCAAATGTACCCTGTTCCCCTGATACAACTTCTGACCTGTTCTTTGGGTCCTCCTTTAGGTGAACATCTGCCTGCCCATTTTCTTCACCCTGGCCTGCTTGTTTCTCATTGCTGTTTCCTTCTGGATGACGCCGAAGGAATGTGCGATTGGCTTTGCAATCATCTTCAGTGGGATCCCTGTTTACTTCTTCGGAGTCTGGTGGCAAAACAAGCCCAAGTGGGTTCTCCAAGGCATCTGTAAGTATTACCAGTGAAGAGCAAGGGTGCAGCCTTGGCTTTCACTCCAAAAATAGTAGCTTCCTGGTGAGCATGCTACAGCTAGTAGCACTGGCTCTCCTTCGTGTAGTGGAAGCTTCCCACGTCTTGGCTCTGATCAATTCTTCTTTCACGGTAACAAGTTTTAATCTGATGATTACCTTATTTACCAAGCACCCAAAACGCACCCTGACTTGCGATAATTGCAAAGTTTGAGCCAAATGCCATGTGTTGGGGTTTTTTTGGTTGGTTTTTTTTTTTTTAATCTTGGCAAACAGGTTGTTTTTATGCAGTGGAGCGTAATTCGCTGAGCACATTGCTGCCTTTCTTCTGCCTCCTGTAAAAGCACAGCGTCAAGCCTTTTGTCAGCAGAGAATCCCTTTCTGCTGGTGTAGGAAAGGAAAAGAAGTAACAGCATAACAGGCTGAGCACAGTTGGCCTCAATCTGACTGCTGAAAATTCAGAATTGGTCCCAATCCATCGCTTAGCCAGCGCTAACTTTTCTGATCCAGTCAAAGCACTCCTTGGCATCAACATGTGGCAGCAGAGCAGAGGGAGGGGAAAATCCCCTGGATCTTTTCTCTTACGAGGCTGATTTTTAAGGTATCTTTATATAAGGTTTTCCAACAGCTGACATGACACCACGGTGTGTTTTGAAGGGATGGAGAGGCCATGCTTGGCACATGGAACCTCTGTCTGAACAACTGAATCAAGAAAGTCAATCCGTGTTGTCCAAGTAACTAAACTGTACCATCTGCCTCCCAGCTCTCATACAACAGGCTGACCTAGAAAAGCAGACAAATAGAAATGCCCAGCCTTAGCTGGATGCTTTTTATGAAGAAAAGGCTTTTAACAGCACTCAGCACTTGTATTCTTTTTTTATTCCCCCCCCATTTCTCTCTGTCTGTCTCTCTCACACTTTTTTATTCTGAGTATTAGGCTCAGTTCCTGGAAAAGCCATTTTTGCAGTGCCTGGGTGGCAAATTACCATATTAATTGTTTTCCACCACCAAAGGCTTGAAAGGAGAATATAGACAGTATTCTGGGAACACAGAATGATAATCCTGCAAATGTCCACTTAGAAACATATGAACTTTAAACACACGTGTATATTCATCAATTGCAGATAATTTGATCACCTCCAACTGATCTGAGTTTGACACTGTGTGTAGTTAGAATTAGTGTTAGCTTTGCCTCGCAAGACTGTCTTGTGATCTCCAAGAAGCCAGTGAAGCAGCAGAAAGCACAGGTGTGCTTGGATACCAGCCAGCGAAACTCACGGGTGGAAAAATGAAGTTACTTCAGTTTAGCACCTTTCCTGTGCCAATCTGCATCTGAAATGCTTCCTTTGCTCCTCACCGGCTCTGGGTTCAATATGCTGAGTGGCTTTGTGCTGGGTACTCGAGCCTTTAAAGAAGCTGTGTGCACATACAGCCAAGGTTTTCCAAATTGGAAGTAAAAGTATTGGCTCATATTTTCTATGCCCATTCCCGCTATTGTGCCTGACTCAGTTTTGGCTGCTTGCAGTTCTGGCATCCAAACATAGTCACTGTATCACCACGCAATTAGAATCTGGCATCAAGAAGTACCGGAGCCTGTCTCGGGGCAGCACAGCATCCTTGCTGCAGGAGCAAAGCTCCCAGTGTTACATGTTTAAGTTCTGGGCGTGAGTAGAGAGTAGCTCATTTGCTTTCAACTCTTAAATTGTATTTGGACTTATCTCACTCAGAACCACAGTGGGGAGGCAAATGGGTCAGCCCTTTTGAGGCAGAGTGTCATGAACCGAGACCAAGTGTCTTGGGTTTGCATGGCAAGGTTTTGGTAGCAGGGGGGCTACCAGGGTGGCTTCTGTGAGAAGATCCTAGAAGCTTCCCCTGTGTCCGATAGAGCCAATGCCAGCCGGCTCCAAGACAGACCCGCTGCTGGCCAAGGCTGAGCCCAGCAGTGATGGTGGTAGCGCCTCTGGGATAACATATTTAAGAAGGGGAAACAAAAAAAACCCAAAACACCGGGACACAAACTGCAGCTGGAGTGAGGAGTGAGAATATGTGTGAGAGGAATGGCTCTGCAGCCTCCCAGGTCAGTGCAGGAGGTGCTCCAGGCGCGGAGCAGAGATTCCCCTGCACCCCTGGTGCAGCCCATGGGGAGGCAGCTGTGCCCCTGAACCCATGGAGGCCCCCGGGGAGCAGAGATCCCCCTGCACCCGGGGAGGAGCCCACACCGGAGCAGGGGGATGTGCCCCAAGGAGGCTGTGACCCCATGGGAAGCCCACGCTGGAGCAGGCTCCTGGCAGGAGCTGTGGCCCTGTGGGGAGAGGAGCCCAGGCTGGAGCAGGTTTGCTGGCAGGGCTTGGGACCCCGTGGGGACCCACGCTGGAGCAGTCTGCTCCTAGAGGGCTGCATTGCATCCCAGTGAAGTGACCCACTCTGGAGCAGGCTGCTCCTGGAGGGCTGCACCCCATGGGAGGGACCCACGCTGGAGCAGTCTGCTCCTAGAGGGCTGCATC